TTATAAGGGATTATATAGCGTAAAAGGTTATCCTTATTCAATACATTTCCACAAAGTGTAAGATAGAAGATCTCCTAACAAAACCTATAGCCAAGGAGATATTTGAGAAACATGTAAGGGCTTTTGGCATCGCTAGATTGTGAAAAGACAGACTTGATATAATATTTTGGTTATATTAATGAGAATTTTCATTACTTCCATATGTGTACGCTCGAGAATATACAATGTCTAGTGTGTCGTACATGTTGATAAGGTTGACTCTTTCATATGAGTAACTGCCTTTGACATTCAAATCAAAGATGAGACATTTGTGTTCACCAGCAAGGCAATAAAAATGTTGATATAGTAGAGAAAAAACACAAATCATATGTCACCTCGATCAAAGAGCAAGTCGAGATGAGATTTATAAGTATGCTAGATCGAGTCATGGATCCCCATATCTATGATACCTGTAGCCAAATAACAAATTCTTCTAAATTGACATCATAAGAGATCAATAGAAAAGAAGAATTTAAGTTTAGGTATAGTGAGTATCTGAACTTAAGTTTGTATGATGTTAATAATAAATGAAAACAACGTATGCTCTTACAAGCAAGAGTAACACCATAATATGTGTTTCATACCACATGTGCTTAAGAATCGCAATGGGAAGCAAGTGAATAAATACCTGCTTCATTGCTATGTGAGTCCTAAAAAGGAAATATCCTTTCAATAATGTCCTTTGACTTTAACATATTATGGAGATATGTCAGTGTCTACTAGTTTAGCATACATCTTATGGTCATGATTGATGCGACCTAAAGGTATCATGCTAGAAAAGTCACTGTCTCCTATCAAAGTAGTATATGGGCAAAAAGGAAGATTATCTTAAATATACATATCTATGCTCATATTCAAGACATATCCGTTATGAAACAATTTGTTGATTCATAACTATGGATACTACACATATAAGAGAGACTATCTGAGTCTTAGACTAACTCAAGAGGGATCAGATTAGTCATAATGAGAAAAGTATATATTGATAAATCTAGGACATTAAGGCAGAAATTCAATTAAGAATAAATTAAGTTACAGGGTTATTTATGCTAGTCCTTAATAGGATTCCTAGTATGAATACTTGAAATGAAGACGTCAAGCTTATGCCGTCACGACAAAGCATATAGTATGAAAGAGGAAAGAGAAAGGAACAAGAGTGATATTATATTCTCTACCTAAGTGTGAGTGGGAGATGTTAGGTAATCCATTCTTAGTGGATCGGGCCCAACATGAGCCTATGGGATCTTTATCAAAATATAGAGCAGATTTGAGCTTGAAAATGTAATATACTCTGGGTCAAGTGTGCAATTTTGCTTTAATTATTTAAAACTCCAGAGGAGGGAACAATTTATCATTCATGCACTCACAACCAAAAAACCAACCCGTGTGGATGGTTTTACAAACTAGATAACTTCCAAGTATTCATATGTGTGATTCAGAATTCATTCTCTCAGCTTGTTCTTTCTCTCTGCCTTCCAAGTGCATTTGTTATGAGTCCATGAACTAAGTTCGGTTTGTAACTTCATTCCCCTATATGGTATATCACTCGACCAACACATAACAGGTATGTTTTCCTCCTTAGAATCTTATACCAGATATAGTACATGAACTATACATGATTTATGGTAAAGGAAAAAAAAACAATAATACACTGATGCATAGGTATAGTAAGTGAAAATCAAAAAGTGGCAAGTTTTTTCTTAAACTCCAATAAACATAAAATTAGACAGTAAAAAATATAAGGCAAGACAAAGAAATTAGGCATTCATGGTCTTTAGATGAAAAGAATCTAAAAGCTAGAAGAATTAAACCTCCAATTAAGTATTATATGTGGCTTGAACTATAAATATAGACCAAAACTATAAAAGAAGAGGGAAATAAATCAACATTATTATAGAAAATAAACCACACTATGTGTTCCTGTTTGTACATTGCATCTTGTAGTAAAAGACATGTCAAAGATATATATTTGACATTAAAGAAAGTTAAGGTACTAATCTACCCTTAAAGTTTTCACACAAGCGTACTTGGTGTACTTTAATTTTTTTTGGTGCAATGTTGCCCCAATAATGTTTTTTTTTATTTGGTACAATGTTGCCCTCCATTAGAAAATAAAACTTGTAGAAACAGAAAAATGAGTTAGTTTAGCAAGATATTAGGATCTGAGTCCAAATAGGATAAGTCTTAAAAAGTTTAGTTTATAGTCAAATAGGAATAGTGAACTTGAAGAAGAAATAAGAAATAATTAAATTCCTAGAGAATCATAAATAACAACAGTCACTCTGCAAGAAATATTGACCAATTGGTCAATACCAACCTTTAAAGAAAAAGAAATTTATAAGACAACTAGTTTTGGTTTATCTTATATAACACAAACTATAGAAAAAGAAATAGGAATAAACAAAGAAAGACAATATATATATATATATATATATTATTTCAGAAGAAACAGTTAATAAATTTAAAGAGAAATATAATTGGATGCATATAGGAATGATACAAATAGCAGTCAAGCCTAATTTTATATTAGGACTAACCCACATTTATATGCCTTAGAGACAAAAGACAAGAAAAAGACTTTAAAAAATCTATAGTAGGAATAATACTGTCAAATTTATTCAAAGGACCAATGTATTTGATCGTTTCCTAAATTACATAACAAGATTAAAAGATGATAATTGTAGAGAAGCTTTAGTCATGGAAATAGGTAGTCAAGGCTCCTGGAAAAAAGGAGTCACATATATGGTTGTAAAATTTAATTATGTTTAAAATACAAAAAACACATCAAAACTTTAAAGCAAAAAAAGAGACTCCCAAAGGAGAATCAATACTAATAGAAATAGGAGATCCTTCCAAAACTTTGATAGTAATACCGAAGAGAACAATGAAAACAGACACCCAATAGTTGCGCTTGTCCAAAATTAACAAAGCCCGCTCCTTAGAACAAGGAAAATTGAAATAGAACTTCTAAAGGAGATATAGCCTATGAAATATTAAGTAGGTCAACCTCTTGCAAAATAAGAGAACAAACACATCTAGTAATACCAAAATCATCTACAGATAATTCCAGTATAGGATATAAATTAATGGGAGTAGATTTTAATCAAAAAATCCTTCAACCAATATATCAAGCTGAAACATCCAAAGTTAAAGAAGAAAGTTATGATGAAACATAGAGCTAGAAACACAATCAGAAATAAATGGAGAATTTTAAAATTCATTAATAGTAATAAGAAGAGAAGATTTTGAATTAAATAAAGAAATATTAAGAGCAGAATTTATGTCACCGAGAAATAGAGATAAAAGAAATTAGTTTTTTTAAGTATTTTCCAGAAGAAGAAAGAGAAAAAATCAGAGAAATTTATTATGAAGAATGCATACTTTAGAAAATTCTTCCAAATACTTTAGAAAACTGTAAAAGTAATGGTAGTAACTAATTTTCTTTATAACATTATATATAGAGAATGACAGAAAAATATCATTGAAATATCCAAATGACAAATAAGTTCCACGAAATGTGATAATTATTTTCTAGTCCAAAAGACATGTTGTCAACTAATTTTGTTGTGAAAAGACTATTTTATCCACTAGAATCTTTTTTTTAAAAAAATCCCAGCCTACCAATCATCTTCTGCCTTTCTGGAATTGGGTTCACCGCAATGAACACAGGATTGTGTTGAGGCAACAAAGTCAAATAAATTTGAATTTGATGCCAAACATGTTCAAATAAACCTTTCATGCACTGGATATGGCCCCTTTGCTCAAATTGCTTTCTCTTTTCTTTCCAATCAAGCACTTCCCCAGGAAGCGTGTACGGCAAATTGTTCCCAGTTCTTGTGAGATCCTCTTTTGGCATCCACGGTTCTCATATTCCCAAAATGAAGAATGAGAGGGACGGATTGGAGGCAAATATGTCATTTCATAAAAAATAAAAATGCAGAAAATAATTATTATATTTTCATTATTTATTTGTCATATGCATATTTTGAAGGTATTTTATTGTCATTCTCCCTATTACGCATACACATTTTTCTTTATTGGGTTATTCATTTTTTAACCTATATTATATGTGTCACAGTGAACGTGCTTTCTTCTCTCATGATTCTACATATTATCAAACCCCCTGAACATATACATGTGTCCTTCATTCTCAATGATATCTTATCTTTTTCTGGACTCCCTTGTAATTTTCACTATTTATTATTTAGTTATATTTGTATGTTTTAAATTAATATGTTTGGTTTATACATTTATTTTAGCTTGCCAAAATTATTTTATAGTTATATATAGACATATTCGAGCTAATTAAATTTTATAAATTTTATATTTCAGCATCATCTTAAATTTCATTCAATTAAAATTCATAAGTAAAATGTTACCTCAGAAACCTACGCTGACTAAAAATCTAAATCGGTACAGTTGCCATGTGGCACATGAAAGGATGAATTTAACAGAAAATTTGGAAACTATATACTCCCTCCGTTTAAAAATCCAAGGCATTGTTAACCAAATCACATCTTTTAATAAGTTAATTGATTGTTTTAAAACTAACACCATCTTTTCATGTTTGCCTTTCTTTAATAGGTGTATCCTTTAAAGGTGAATAGTTGAATGGTTTTTTTATTAAGTGTACTTTTGAAAAAAAGACTTATTAATTATACATTGAAAAACTAAAAAATGACTTATATTTTTAAATATTCAACATCAGAAATATGCTTTACAATTTTTAACCAAGGGAGTAATTAAATACCCCAGGATGTTGCTAACTTCATTGCTTTAAGTTGAAGGGCTTCTACAAATTTTTTTAATTTATTTTCCCAATTTGTATATCGTAGAATGAAAACGAAAAGCGTGAGAGCGCGTGTGAATCATATTGTCAAACTAAGTGTCACTTTCAGGTTTGAAGACTTTGAATATGTTTGTGATTGTGAAGGAATACAATTAAGTAATCACAAAATCACATGATGCTGGTACCTCCGACCAGTTGCATTTACGTGAGGGAAGGGATATTGCGGCAACGAGAATCAGAGGAAGAAATATGTATTATAAATAGGTTACTTTCGGCATAAGGTTAATGAAACTTATAAAGAATTTAAACTGAATTATTTTATAATTTTTCAAATATTAGGTAGTCTTATTGGCCTTAAATCTTTTGTCACTTCAGATCCATATGATTCCTTATCTACTTGGTCTCTCTCTTCTTCTCCAAACAAATGGGTTGGTGTCACCTGCAATATTCGCCATGGAAGGGTCCATTCCTTGAATCTTACTAGCATGGATCTTATAGGCACCATATCTTCACAACTGAGAAATCTCTCATTTCTTGTTGAACTTGATCTTAGTAGCAACAATTTTTATGGTCAAATACCAAGAGAGTTAGCTCGATTGCGTAGATTGAAGCTACTGAACCTGAGGTTCAATGACTTTCATAGACAAGTTCTAGCATGGATAGGAGATTTATCTACACTGGAGCACTTAAATCTTCAAAATAATATTTTTGATGGATTAATTCCAGCATCTCTGTTCAATCTATCAAGGTTGGAGACATTAGATTGAAATTTTAATTTAATTCAAGGAACTGTTCCTGTTGAGGTAGGAAGACTTAAGCGTTTGAAGATTTTATGACTAGCAAGTAACAAGCTTTCAGGAATCATTCCCCAAAAAATTTCCAACTTATTACACTTTGTCAGGTATGTTTTAGAATTATTTTTTATGCTTATATTTATGTCCGCTCTAAACTAGTCTATTTGGTTAATTTGTCTTGACTATTATATATTGAGAATTATTGAAAGGGAAAAATGAATTTTCTTATTCTATTGAATATATCCATCAACATATGTACACGTGAGAGGTTTACAAAATAAAGTAACTAAAATAATATTATCTGTTACACCCCCCCACAAGTTAGAGCATATATATCTTTTATGCCCAGCTTGAACATAAGAGTTTGGAAAGGACCAAGGGCTAAAGGCTTAGTGAAAATGTCCGCGAGCTGATTAGCTGATCAAATAGGAAGAAGCTGAACAACTTTAGACTGAACCTTCTCTTGAACCAGATGACAGTCCAATTCAATATGTCTCCTGCGTTCATGAAATGCAGGATTGGCTATAATTTGTATAGCAGAGCGATTGTCACAAAATAAGGAATCATGCAAACCATAAAGGATATTGAAATCCTTGAGCAAATAGAGCAGCCATAGAATTTCATAAGTGGTCAAAGCCAAAGCATAGTACTCCGCTTCAGAAGAAGAACGAGATACAATGGGCTTTTTTTTAGATTTCCAAGAAATTAAGGAGTGACCAAGGAAAGTACAAAACCCTATAATGGATCTTCTAGTGTCAGAACAACTAGCCCAATCTGAATCACTGAAAGCTTTCAAGCAAAAATCAGAAGAACTAGGAAAGAAGAGACCCTTAGCAGGAGCATGCTTGAGATAACATAGAACATGATGAACTGCTTGGAGATGAGAATAATAAGGATCAGAATTAAACTTATTCAAATGCTGAACAGTGAAACATAGATCAAGGTGCCTAGTAGTCAAATATAATGAGCAACCAATTAGCATTCTATACGAAGAAGGATCAGATAAAGGAACACCAGAATCCTTAGAAAGCTTAAAATGTTTATCCAACAGAGACTTGGCAGGTTTGCATTCAAGAAAACTAGCATCTTAAAAAAGCTCTAAAGTAAATTCTTGTTGATATAAAGTAATACCAAAAGCAAAACGAGCAACTTCAAGACCAAGGAAGTATTTCAATTTGCTAAGATCTTTGATGGTAAAAGCCAGATCAAGAAGGGACTTAATGCGAGTAATTTCAGCCATGTCATCACCAGCAAGAACAATGTCATCCACATATACTAAAAGGGCAGTTAAAGAGATGAGTGAATAAAGAATGATCAGAAGTAGATTGCTTATAACTATAAGACTAAAGAACTGAAAAGAGCTTAGCAAACCACTGTCTACTAGCTTGTTTTAAGCCATAAAGGGATTTTTGAAGCTTGCAAACAAGAAAAGGATTTGATGAAGAAAAACCAGGAGGCAAAAGCATATAAACTTCCTCATCAAGTCACCATGGAGGAAAGCATTATTGACATCAAGTTAGTGAAGAAACCAACCCTTAGCAGCAACCAAAGAAAGAAGTAAAAGAATAGTAGTCATCTTAGCAACTGGAGAAAACACGTGAAAATAGTCAATGCCCTCAGTTTGAGTATAGCCCTTAGCAACCAAATGAGCCTTATAGCATTCTAACTCACCATTGGACTTATATTTCTTTCAGAAAACCCATTTGCAACTAATGGGGACTTTGCATGATGGTAATTAATTAAGAACCTATGTATTATTTTGTTCAAGGGTAGAAATTTCAGCAGCCAGTGCTTCATGCCATTTTTCATGTTTATTTGCTTCTTTAAAGGTGCGGGGTTCAGGGTCAGTAGTAATGGATAAGCTAAGAGTTTGATGGTTAGGGGACAAATTATCATAAGAAAGGATGGAAGAAAGAGGATCACGAATACCTTTGTCATTAGATGTTGGTACAGAAGTGAGTAAGGAACAATGATAATCATGCAGATAACTAGGTTTTTTATGGATATGAGTAGAACGACGTACAGGAGGAGAAGATAGAGGGAAGGGAATAGTAGAAGAAGGAGAAATAGGAGGTAAAGAGTAATCAATATCTAGATGATGCTGTAAGGTAGGAAATTCTGCAAGAGAAAATGTAGAACTAGAGTCCTGAAAAGGAAAGATTGATTCATAAAAATAACATCATAGGAAATAAAGATGGAATTAGAAGAGAGATCAAGAAGGAGATAACCTTTGGTGCCCAGTTTGAAACCTAGGAAAACACATTTACAAGCTCAAGGGTCAAATTTACATCAATGGGCAGAAAGAGATGAAGCATAACAAAGGGAACCAAACACCTTCAAATAGGTGAAAGAAGGAGGTTGCTAAAAAGAAGTTCAAAAGGAGAACGATATTTAAGGGTAGGTGTAGGGAGACGATTAATGAGATATACAGTATGAGAAATGGCATATGTCCAATAATTTTTGGGAACATGAGATTGAAATAAAAGGGCACGAGCAACATTAAGAATGTGTTGATGTTTACACTCTACAATGCCATTTTGTTGTGGAGTTTTTACACAAGTAGTTTGATGACTGATACTTTTAGATGAGTAAAAATCAAGCATAAGGAACTCCGAACCATTGTTAGAATGGATGGTTTGAACAGAACAAGAAAATTGAGTTTCATAGTGAGCTATGAATTGTTTAATGTGAGAACATGTCTCAAATTTGTGTCTCATCAAGCAGACCCAAGTAAAATGGGAAAAATCATCTACTATAGTCAAGAAATAACGATGACCGTGGATAGAAGGAAAAGAGAAAGGACCCCATATATCAATATGATGTAAAGAAAAAATTTTATTATTGATACTGTCACTTACAGGAAATGGAATTCTTTTCTGTTTAGCAAATTGACAAGCATCACAAGGAAAAATAAGAGAGTCACAATTGATGAAAGGAAACTGTTTATGCAGAATTGAAAGTGTAGAAGAAGACAAATGACCAAGTAGGAGATGCCAAATATTGGGAGCAGAATGAACAGTTGACAAATGATGAACAGAAGGAGATTGATTATCTGCATGTTGATAGATGCATAGTCCTTGTTGAAGTTTTGCTGTACCAATCATCTTCCAAGGGTTGATATTCTGTATAAGGCAAAGGGAATGATAAAATATTAATAGACAATCTGAACAAAAAGATAATTTGGCAACCGAAAGGATAATAACAGAGAATTTAGAAATATAAAAAACATCATAGAGGGTAAGGTCAAGGAGAAGGCCAACAAAACCAGAGATAATGGCAATAGCAAATAAACCATTTGGCATACTTACATTAACAAGAGAAATGTGTTTATAAGAGGTGAAAGCATCTAAAGAGAAGCAAACATGATTAGTAGCACCTGTATCTATGATCCAAGAAGAATCACGAGGACTCTCACCTGTCTTTATAGCATTCATGGAAACATAATGATCATTTTTGGAAGAGGCTGGCTCTTATACAAGAGCTAAGAGGCATTGAAATTATTCAGCGATAAAGGTTTATCCACCGATTTGAACAGAAATAGGAGTAAGAAGAACAAAAGAGGAATCTTAAGAGGCAACATGATGAATAGAGGAAACATATTTTTGACCTCAAGTTTTGTACCCGAGAGGATAACCATTTTTCTTGTAACATGTCTCAATACTATGACAGAACTTACCACAACAAGTACAAAATTTTTCATTTGAAGACCCACCATTAGAACTAGAACCAGGGGTCTTTGAATTGTCAGAAGAAGCCTTAGTGAAAAGGATCTTGGAATCTTGATTTCCCAGCATTTCTTGTTCTTGTTGAACAAGAGAGAAGACATGATTGACCATCGGCAAGGGATCCATCAACATAATTTGGGATTTAATAGTGCTATATCGGTCATTTAATCCACACAAAAAATGAATGACATAATCTTCCTCTCGAAAAACACGCATATCAGCAGCCGCACCACAAGAACATGCAAGCTTACATACATAGTGCTTAATCGAGCGTAAATTAGTCAATTTGTCCTAAAGAATTTTAAGATGAGTGAAAAATTGACTAACGTAACCAACATATCTCCTTAATGTAAGCTGGAAATTTCTTCCTGCGATTCAGCAATGCAAAATTTATCACCATTAGAGAATCAATCTCAAAGATCTGTCCAAATGTCACATGCATCATTAATCCAAAGGATGCTGTGAGTGATTGTTGGTGAAATAGACTTGGTAATTCAAGAAACTACCATAGTATTACAACGAATCCAAGAAGAATAAAGAGGATCAAAAGAACGTGGTCGGCTTAAGGAACCATTGATGAAATCGAACTTGTTCTTCTATTGAAAGGCCATGGTCATAGTGCAAGCCCACATGTCGTAACTGCTACCATCAAGAGGTGGTGAGACAAGAATAAGGGCAAGATTCTCATTAGGATGAAGGTGAAAGGGGTTAGAAGGATCTGATTATGGTGGCAGCACTGTCGTCGAAGAATCAGTTTTGGCCGGAGGGGCTATAGCAGAGCATAGCTAAGAAATGCTTGAGTGCTCTGATGCCATGAGAATTATTGAAAGGGAAAAATCATTTTTCTTATTCTATTGAAAGTTATAACAGAGTAAGTATATATACATCGACATATGTACATGTGAGAGGTTTACAAAATAAAGTAACTAAAATAATATTATCTGTTACATATATTCTTTGTTTTGGTATTTTATGCATGTTTTTATCAATTTTTCATTTTTTTAAATTATCAATTCTACTTTTTGAATAAATCACGTATCTACATGCAATTGAAGCAATAGAATATGTGTTCCTTTACTACAGTGCATTCAAATAAGAGCTGGCATAGGAACAAAGAATATATCAGTCCTACTAATGGATATAATTAACGGCCATCGGTTCTTGAAAATGAATATCTATTATTTTATCATTTAAAACATCTTGGGGGTTGCTTATAAAATGAGTAAATCTTGCAACGCATGGATCTAT